ACACACACACACACACACACACACACACACACACACACACACACAATGAGGAAAAGAAGAGGTATAACCGTGATGTTTGTCATTCTACTATTAAGCCTCTGGCGAGAAGTTAGTATGTGAACACAGTTTTGGGCACTTTTTAGAAAATAAATCATAGCATTCATCAGCACTAGTAGAGTGACGGAGTATTGAACTATGAACTACTACAACAGGCTGGCTTCATGGCACATAGCCAATGATTGATGTGAGAGATACCCATCCCCCCACTGCTAGGGCTCTGTCTGTACATCTGTCTTTCCTCGCCCCCCCCCCCCCCCAGTCTTTGCCACTGTGATGTTATCTCTGAGTCTGTGTGTCTGTAGGCAGGAGGTGACGCAGTGTCTGACTGAATCCAGACAAAGAGACAAACTCATCAGCCAACAGACACACAGAAGAGGGAGAGAGAAGGGGGGGGGGGGGGGGGTAGCACGCAAAACAAAACAGACAAAAGACAGAATGCCAAAACTCTACTCAAACACCAAGCAATGGGGGTCCTGATGAATTCAAAAGCCCCCTCCTTCTCCTTCTCAGCCGCCGTCCCCTCCAAAAACACACACACACACACAACTCCATCTGAATCTCCAGGAAGTGCTGGGGCCCCCCGCCTTACGTCCACACACACACACACACACATGACTGGGGATAGTGGGCCAGACATCTGATCAATTCTCACTTTGATTAACTGGTGACCTAGCACTGGAAAGAAGAAGGTGAAGTGATTAACCTTTTTTTCTCTATGTGGAAGACTTTCTCTGCTTAGTTTCACACCTGAAATGAAGCTAAATGCTCCTCCTAGATAATCTCAACAGAGAAGTCACATTTACTTACTTTTATTTGGCTTTTGATTCAGCCACAAGACCACACTGTTACCATGAAAGCACACAGGCATCAATGATAAGCAAGAACCATTTGTCCTGAGCTAAATTGGGGGAGCACATCTTATTTCAGCTCTTTCGAATCCAAGTTCAGAAGCTTGACAGAAAAAGAAAAATATAAAAAAAAAAAACTAAACAACTAAAAAAAAAAAAAAAAAAAAAAAAAACTTTACTTTTAAATGAAGTCCAATTAACAAAAATTGTCGCTTCTGTACACACACCTATATACACTTACTCAAACACTTGAAAAGTTCTGACACAACCTGCACTGTATTATAGTCAACTCATCAAGAGGTTTTCAGAATGTTTATGGCAACATTTGCACTTGTATTGTTAAACGTACTGATGTCTATTTACTGTCAACCTGAAGAAACATCAACGTTTCTCCATAAAGCATGCACCACCTCCACGTCTAATCAAATGCTATGTAATGCTGTTGTTGTGCATCAACCTCGAGGAGGAAGACAAAGCTAGAAAGACAGCACTGTTGTATTATTGTCTGGAATCCGCCTGCCAGTCAGACTGTCTCCCTGCCTGTCTGCTCTCTCAGTCAGTCCGTCTGTCTGGTCTCACCCTCTCAGGGGGAGGACAGCTCTGTGCATGCAAGTCATACCTTTACAAGAATAACCAGGTAAAACAAGCTAGAGAGGAGAGTCAACGTACAAAACACAGTACCTGAACTCAAACTCCAGTGACACGGTGGTACGGCTTGTCAAGTATACTAAATATTTTGGCATTCGTCACACAGCATGAGGTGCTCCAAAGTACGCCAACACTACATCGTATCAGGCCCTCCCACTCTAGACTCTGGTCGAGGTGCTACAGAGCACATTAGCTCGCAGGGATTATCGCAAGTCGCAAGATGCATTTCAACAGCAGTTCAAACAAACTATATATAGAAAAGAAGGGCTGCAGCATACATAACTTCAGCAGATTACACCGGGCTGTTCCCTTCTGTGGACTGGGGCGTGTTTAAGAAGTCAGCATGCTGTCCACCAAAAGGAAATCCAGGGGAAGAAAAGCACAAAGAGGGATAGCCATAGCTTCTTCACACGTATTCCTTCGTTTCAATGAAGTTAATGTTGTATAATGTTAGCAGGGAATGAAATTAGCGCCTGCCACCAGCCAAATACAAGGTAAATGTTGGCTACATGTTGGTAAACAGTTCAGGTCACCTGCCACCAACGCAGATGGGTTTTCCTTATATCAAGAATATATCACATGATAGATTGCATTGTCCTACTGTCTGCTTCCACTGATTTTGTGTTTACAATTTTAAAGCGTTCTAGATTTCAGAAGGGGCAGACGAAAACATTGACTGACTGGTAGAAATGTTCAGTGACCTGCCACAACAAAACGTAATTTCAGACCAAGAACTAATTTCGTTAGAATACGAAATAAAAATGAGATGCTCCGGTTCATAATTGTGTAGTGCCATTGGTGATTTGTAGGAAAGCCCTGCATGCATACAAACAAGGACGCCTGAGGACAATGTGCCACTCAGAAAACACTCAATATGAGAAGTGTGTACGAAAAGGCTTATAGTACTGTAGATATCTCACCCTAAAAAAAGAGAAAAATAGACAACAGAGACCTCGATTTCAACAAGTGTCGTCCTAAAGTACAGGGCAAATGCACACATTTTGAATAGCATTTTGAACACCTGAGACGTGCTTTTGCTCAATGAATTTAGAGAAATTACAACTTAAAACAAAACCCAGAAGCCAAAAACAGGGTTACCCACAAGCCCCGACATACAGGCTAACTACAGGAAGACGCTCTCACAGGACTTCTTGTATACCAGTCTACTCAGAAAACACACAAATAGTGATGTAAATTACACGAGTCCTCGGACATGATACCGCAAGTTTGCACACATTGTTTACTATGTCACAAGACCATATGTGATATATGTTTGGCATCAGATTAAAGATGAGTATCATTACAAATGAACAATATACCAATCTGGTAGAGTTATCAAATTAATGACAGCTTCTTTTAAGTTAATATTTACCATAGATATGCTCATTTGCATGTTTTTTTATTCAGTTACTACTCATCTTTTTTGTATTCATTGTATTTAACCAGAGTTTGATTTAGACAAAAAGAGTTTCTGTCCACTTACTTTATTAATCTCTTTCGTTTTTGTATATGTAACTATGTCAATAATAATAATAATAATAATAATAATAATAATAATAATAACTACTCAAGGAACCACTGTAGAATAAAGAAAAAAAAAAAGCATTGATGGCCAATTAAGTCTTGTGCTGTATTCTCACATAAACTATAAACCATAATACAAATTGAGATATCCATCACTACTCTGACCAGAAAACATACACGTTTTTTATGAAAACTCTAATAAAACAACAATAAAGGCGGTATGAATGTGGGCTGCTGACATAATATACTGTGAATATACAATAGAGTATGTGATGGTATGTCATTACAGGGAATACATGCTACATGAATCTATTACAAGCTACAGCGGACATCAAGGGAAGCGACTGAAACGCTGCTACTGCAGGTCGCTGCAGAAACAATAATAATTCAACACATTCCTGTAAAACAGTCCGAAGTACACACGTATAGTGGACGTGACGTGGGTAGATAACGCGTGAAATATAGCATTAGACAATACCTGGAATACCTACAGTTAACTTTGAAGGGGTTGGTCTGTTTTCGCCTGGACATATTATTGTCCACTCCCGGTTATAAACCTGGAATCTCCTCCTAAACCCAGCACGGGTACCCTGACACCAGTCCAGGTGTGTTCCGCACTGAGGAGGACAGATGATGAACGAAATAACAATAAAAAAAAATATATATATCAAATCGTCTACTCGATCAGCAGAGTCGGGACCATTCACGGGGGTTAAAAAAAACAAAAACAAAAAACGTAAACATCAAAGAGTCACATTCTTGCAGCAGTTAAAACGATCCGGTCTCCAGTCGATCAGCGGGTTTAAAATGATGAAGACCAGAGAGACACACCGAGCGGCCCCGAGCTGCTCCGATCCAGAGCCGCTGGCACCCGCGCACTCACTGCAGCGATGCACGAGCTCAGCTGATCTGTAACGCTAAAGCAGCGAAGCTACGCCGAACTGCATTGTGGGATACGAAAGGGACGACGGGGAGTTCATCACGCTAAAGATACTATGGTGCGTTCAAGTCACGTGGGAGAAAGAACGACGCTCTGTATAAACATCACAATATTTCCACGTAACGTAGTGCTTCAATGTTTTAATAGATAAGGAACATCTGAAAGTGTTGGAAATAGAAAATCTAAATATATCAGAGTGTATCTTTGGTCTTCTTTCAGAAATAAAATATCTTAGATTTGTAAGAGGATCGACATATTTTAACATCTAAAATAATCAGAATTAATGCCAATTAAAAATAGTATATTTTGAAATGTATATATATATTTTGAAGCATATACAATGGAAGTAGATGATAGTAACAACAATATTTTATTTTACATTATATTTGTAACAAACTCGCCGTTTTGTCAAACAACTATTTTCAAGGTCAAAAGTGCAAACCTAAAACCATAAGAGCTAATCAGCTTCATGCCAACGGCTTCATTTCCATGACCACTAAGCACACAATGCAACAGGAAGCTGTATATTGTCATAGCTCCCAAATTAAAACATCCTCCTTTAAGGAGAAAGGAAGAAAGCAATTGAAGTATAAGTCCCTTAAAAGGTTGATTTTTATGTTACACAAATTATAAATTAGAGTTCGACCCACATAGATCTACGATACATCGGCCAATATTTATTTCAACATCGCACATCTAAAATATTTTTGATAATGACTCCTTCATTTGGTTGTTTATTAGGCTAATTGTGACAAAATTATGAGCAGGACCTTTTACACTTGTCAGTGCTCTCTGGTGGGCAATCCATGCACTGTTTCTAAATTACCACAAACATATCTTTGATTCCTCTCGTCTTCCTTAAAATATTGTTTTGAGGGTGGCGGCAGATATCTGAGAGGCCGATTACTAAAACCTGGCCACATTAAACCAAAACCATCAGCATGGCTATAATATTATGGGGCGATTGTGGCTAAGTGGATAGCAGGGGCCGTCTTTCAATCAGAGGGTCGGCGGTTCGAACCCTGGCTTCGCTAGTCGCATGTCGATGTGTCCTTGAGCAAGACACTTAACCCCAAAATTGCTCCCGTAGCTGTGCCTACGGTGTAGAAATGTGATAGACTCTGAATTGTAAGTCGCTTTGGATAAAAGCGTCTGCTAAATGACTGTACTGTAATGTATCAGGGAAACAATACATTGTGAAACAACCCTTCAAATGTTCCAGATTCACCCAGGTGATAAGCCTCTGGGCTGGTTGGACACAATATGAAAAAGTAACTTGATGGGTGTGCACTTGTATCAACACTAGCATAGTTGTGATTCATTCACTCTAAAGTCTACAGTTAGACTGACAATGGTGCTGCAGTGTACCATTCAACTAAAGATAAGGCAATAATAGACAAAGGCATTGTACATGAACGTTAGCATCACATTATCCACCTAGAATATCATGTCATATGTTTTGCTATAGCATTTCATAATAACCCAAATTTTTCTGCTAGGCTAAAAAATGAACTGAGAAGCAGATCAAAGGACTAGAACTGTCACTGATGATGAACAAAAATGTCAAAGTAAGTTAAGGTTTAACTAAATAAATGAATAAATTCAAGATAGTTTCCATGTGAGATGAAAACACCCAGCATGTTTCCTGTTTATTCAGTATTATGATCGTTTTAACAAAGTCAGGCTGTGAACATATGAAAAACAGCCTCAACCAAAGTCTTCACATCACATTACAATCACTAGAATTAATAGGGTCATGACTTCGTTATGACAACAACATCCTTTTTTAACTATAGTGTTTTTGGTTACACCCATTCGATTATTGCTGGTGTTACTTTATCATTGATCACAGCTTAACTGGTATGTTATTTATGTCATACTAAGACTTAAGACCAACCCTGATGCGGTCATTTATCAAATGATAAATAAACTGTTAATCCAGACCAACCCCCCCACACACACACATCTTGGACAGCACAGTATAAACACTAGGTGGCGCTCCAAACCACCGGACTGCTAAAGTCATAACATTTCATGTAGTCGTCATCACTGGCTGCCACGAGTAAACGGACCGCAGCACAACATTGACAGGGTAAAAAAATATATTCTTCCGCAGCGTTAAGAGGAAAATATGCCATCTCAACAAAATAACCTCGACATGTCGTGACATTTACGGCGTTTGTGTGGCAAGTTACGGATGACATACATTAATCCTCAAATTGAAAGTTACACAAAATTATTTAGAGTCAATCATCTCGTGAGATAACGTAAGCTAGCGGTCTAAACATAACAAGCCAAACGTTAGCCCTTTATGATCATTGCGAGAACCGATGGACGAGGACAAGCTCACTGATAACTACGATTTACAGTGCAGTCACTTAGCTAGCGTTACATCTCTAATCATCATGAATACATAATGAATCTGTTACCCATGGTGTCCAGTGAACACTGGCATATCAGGTGGGAGTCTCCGGCAGAGGTAGTGTGAAGAAGTCGTCTACTAGGAGCACACGGTACTGTACGGTGATGATAAACTTCAGTCCGCGCTTCTTTCACCAACCTCTGGGAGATGTCAGTGTAACCCTCCGCCTGCGGTAGATGTGCTGAGGCTGGAGTAGCCACCATTTTGCATGTCTAGTGTGTTCCTCCCTCCATTGCTAATAGAGACGATTCCAGTTATTTTCTGGCATCTTTACGGCTAGTAAGTATATTCTAAGATCAATATATCGGAAGAAATACACGAAAACGCCTTGACGTGTGAGTAATTATGTGTGGTTTGTTTGTGTCTACGTTGACAACTCTCACAGCGGCACTGCATAGGAAGTCGCAGCCCTCATTGCACCGGGGCTGTGCCTGTCAGCAGCTAACTTAGCTAGCATGGTTAGCATAGTCATATAGCTGTAGCTAGCATGCTAACTAGCTAGCCTGGCTAACTACCTGCTGGGCTAGGGATGTGAAGCTCACTTAGGTGGTGTGGTTGTCTAATAAGTCATAATAATTGTGACAACTCGTATTGCCAACTTTATGTTTTAAATCTTTCTAGCCAGCTAACAAGCTAGCTTCGTACCCATTGCTTTTTTTTCGAGTTGAGATTGTATTCGAACTAAATAATAGAGAAGCTAACGAGTGGTCAGGTAGCTAGCTAACGCCACAGAGGACTCGCTAGCTTGATAATTCAAATGCTTGAAGAAGGCCTGAACTGCATTACTGATCAGATTCAGGTGTCATGCTAAGCCTGTGATGGCCTATCGTCTCAGTTCGACAACATTGTCGAATGCTGTTGATACAAACCTTCATTTAACGAAATAATGTCAGCCAAGGTGAAGCTGCTGCTGTAGTGTCAACCTAATATATTGCCCTTTCACTGGAAATACTAGTATACGAGTGTTAGCTTGCTGTTAGCAGACTTTTGCTATGTGTCATTTGTGTTGGCTAAGTAACGTTACGCATCTGGCCTCAAAGCTTTGTACTGGCATCAGACTTTACTAAATATGACAAATTGTAAACATTTCAACGAAAAAAAGTCAACGTTACAGTTACATATTCAGAAAGCGAACGATAGCTAGTGTAGCGTTGACTCCTTGTTTCACAAGTTTGTGACTTGGTGTTGACAACTTATTTTAATTAAGAGGGTAACAATAAGACAGACATCGTGTAACAAAGCTTATACGTCATCTGAGGAAGACCAGTTTACATAAAACCAGTTTGTGGGTAAACGTTAAGGAAGCTGTAAGTTAACTAGGAAGTGATTAAATGACTGTGACGTAAGTTTGAGTGACTCCTGGGCATTTTTTGTCACATCCCTTTTTTGCCATTCCTAAATATTAGCTAGCATCACCCAGTGTTTGACGGGATACGGTTTTCTGATATCGACCCAAGTTCAGGAAATATCCAGGATTCAACAAAATCCAAAATTGTTCTTTGATGTTTAATAATTCAGTGTAATCCCATGACGACTACAGTATATAATGTCCAGCTTTAAACAAGACAGCTATTACTTTAATTAAAAGTGAACCTTCAACTCTGCCAACACAGTGGTGTGGTGACTATCTTTGTGGCATGATAAGTGAATTAAGTCGAGGTTTATTCACAGTAGGGCATGGGTTAATAAACTATTCACACTACTGTGTCTACAAATCAGTCTCCCATACACACTGGTTTTGTCTGAAGGTTCTCAAAAAGACTGAACGGATTACTTTTTTGCATTATTTGATTTGTTTGCAATTCTCCTTTTGACTTTTTGACATTATACTACTATAGTGACCGTCACCACTGTCTTGATAACGCATTTAACTTGCACAGCGTCTGATTGTTTACTCTCCTAGAATTTTGATTTATTGTTACTCCTTCTTTGTACACTCACAAAGTCAGAGGTAGAGAAAGTACTGTAGGTGATAGCTTTAGTTGTTTTTCAGCGTTAGTGCTTGTTGCTTTGCGAGATTTACCTGCAGCCTAGTTTGCAACCTAACATCCATATAATGAACTATTTGCTTAGGTTTAAAATGAGCAAGTAGAGATGAGGCCTCAGGTAAAGTACAGGAACCCTTGTTTACTTTGCAAACAGCTAGTTATTCAATTGAACTCCTTGATGCTGCATTTGGTTTTTGGTTTGAGATCTTTTGAGCAACTGCAGAGCCTCTACTAGTTCAGCTATTAAATCACATGACTGACAAATGGTTAGTATCAGGCTTAGTGATGGATCTTGACTGTCTCCATCTTAAATGTGGTGGTGGACCTTGGTAGGGAGAGGAAAGGGGGTGTATGCGAACAGTGTTGTGTTCTCAAGCTAACGAACACTTGCAGATTTTCGAACAATCCCTCCATACTGACAAGAAGACATTTTTATAGTTGGCCGTAACTCTATTTGGGTGAGCTGTGAAACACTGGTCATCACATTTGAACTATCAAATGCATGTCTTCTCTTCTCCTCTACAAAGGTACAGGACCCAACAGTTGACTGTACGTAGGTTATAAATGTAAAACTCACACAATACTGATTTATTTTTATTTTTATTTTTACTCTTGCATGTTTGCGTTTCCTCGTTGTGCATGCATGTGAAATACACAATTATTAATTTCCCTGCATAGCCGATCACTTATAGTTTGTGAAGAGTTCGAGTGATCTGCTTCTAAAGTATTTCATTGCTAACATCTGAGTGCATAGCTGAGCACAGAGCGAGAGAATAAAGAGACAAAGTGTACGTTACAACAGCTTGTCAAATTTGGTAGGGAAAATACTTTTCCCCAGTGGTGGCTCTGTATATTCTTCATCTTGCATCCACCTAATAATCTTTTTGTAGAGTTTAACTGGCAAATCTCTCCTGAAAATGAAGGTAGTGGTGAATCTTGAATCTGTGCTTTGATTTTCACAAGTCCTCTTGTTATTCAATCATCAAATGTAAAACTGTGTTTCATTTGTAAACACTTCTAGTATGACGTCTCAGACTTCAGGTTGACTGCTCCCCGTGGTACAACGGAGGTGTGGCATGCTTGTTGCTTGTTGTCAGGCTCTGTAAACTAATCTGGGCATGCTCTCCAACTCTTATGAGAGCAAAAGCTTGTTATGAACATTCACAATACAAAGTACGCCCACACAGGAAAGATGTGTTCATGAGATTGCGTAGATAAACGACCCTTAGTGTTAGTCAGATTGTTAATGGTTTAAAGAAATGTTGAGGTGTTAGGGGTAATGACTCTGATGTATATACCTTGCTTAACAGAAGATGTCTACAAAGCTATTGTTTTGTCAGGGTGCTTATTTTTTCCTTCAACTTTTCGGCTCAGGGTGTGGACCTTTTTGTCATTGTCACTTGGGCCAGATATCCCCAGCTACACTGAGCCGTTTTGTCCCACCAAAATCTGTATGGGCTCTAGTTACTCGTGTTTGTGATCACCACCTTAATCTGTAATATGGCTATACCGCCGAACAGTTGTCTTAATGTCTTTGTAGTGAGGTTGAGTGAAGTTGACCTTGGTGAGTGAACCCGAGACTGTTGAATAAGCCCATCCTGTGGTCTTTCTAATCCACCTACGATGTGCTCAATCCCTCCTTTTTGTCTTGTCTTTTAAACTAAATACGCCGTTCCACTTCCCAGAAACGGTACCAGCATGACACTAATGGCAATTATGGACAACAAAATGATGCGTCTTCTGATTGTAGAACAATGTGCAGTTGTATAGCAATTGCAGGAATGAGGAACTGTAACTGTTATTAGCTCTCAGCAGAGGCTGGATTTACCTTCTTTCATGTGTAAACATTTGATTATAAGCACAGCGAGAGAAAGGGAGTCATGATTTATGGAGCCCAACACTCGGCCCCTTCAGCTCAGGTAATTTAAATGGTGTTAAGACAGACTGTAGATCTCTGGCTTTATTAAAGTGTGGCGTTGCCCGAGCACCCTCCCCATCCCTCTTTGATCACAGTGAATTCATAGACTCTCTACAAACCACCACCGTATGCAACAAAGGATGCCCTCATTCCCTCTATGTCTGGATCCTTATTTCCATCAGTCGACTGGCATGGTTTCAAATAATTTAATTAAATCTCTGCAGCGAAAGTTAGCAACAAGAAAAGGTATGGCGATTTTCCACTTTTCCCATTCCGATAGAATTATTGCAACCCCCACAGTACACGGGTCTAAAAAGAGTCGGGAGCAGCCAGGGTTTCCTTGTATGATACATTTAACGTTGAAGTTAATTTAAAGCTCATTCTGCACAGTCGGCTTAATCTATAACTGCTCAAGCAATTTTCGGAGTATGTGTCATGTGGGAGCAGGAGCTGGAGTTGATTTTCCATGTACGGCTCTCTGGCAATTAGCCAGCTCAGGACCTAGTAAGATTCCCATAAGTCTTAGTAATGGCTAGGCTCTAGTGGGAACAATGGCTGCAACGTTTTCTAAGACAAATGCTTACAACACAGGTTTATGTATACCAGTTTCACAGAGACGCAAAGCTGTCTTTGATGTTGTTCTTCCATTAAAAAAAATCATAGCGGAGGAATCATCAGGCTGATAGATCTCCTCTTTGAAAGTGTTTCTCTGATGCGTAGCATGAAATCCAGCTGCAAGAATTACTCGCACAACTACACAACAAAGATAAAAAATACATTATTATTAAGGCAGACTGTGTCAGCAGAATTCACAGCACTTCTTCTGCGCTGTAGTATTTGTATAAGAGAAAAGCATAATCTATTATGCTTTGTGATCACTGAAATCCTTTATCTTTGAGAAGAGAACCAAGAGTTTGTAAAGTACTTATCAATGTAGTCTCACATTTTACAGAATGCCATTGTTCATGAGAAACGTTGTGTATCAAAGTAATCGCATTCACTAGTTTATCACAAGGTAAATAAATGGGTTTTATGGTATCTGCTCCGTCCAAATGCCCTTTTATGTTTCTGTCTACCAAAAGCCCACTTCAGCACTAGTTAGAGAAAATGGATTTGCTTGACAAGCAATTACCATAATGTCTGTTGCTGTAGCAGCTTAATTATGTACTGCATGCTGCTACCAGATAAAGGCTTCATGAGATGGGAGACAAAACGTACCTCTTTCAAAGTAGAGGGGTCACCATTAATAACTCTCCGGTTTCATTTAGCATTGACATGTTGAGAACCCGCATGTCAACGTTTACCTTCACAGGTAAGAAATGACGGCGCTACAGAGGTTGTACAACAAACCCAGAGGACCTAAATGAAGCCACACTCCCTGTTATATCTCGCCCTGCTCCATTAACGACTTTCAATTCTTTAATTCTGTGACAAGCTTTTATTAATGCAATCACCTTGCCTATGTTGCCTGTTTTTAAAGAGGAAGTACGCATAGTGATGGTCATTTCTTTGGGGTGTGTTCGTACATGTAAACACAAGATAATTTATTCTTGCTACTAAGCATGTACTCATAAATATTAAACCTGGTCCTTGGGCTTAATGCATGTGTGCTCTCAGAAGCTTCTCTGGGGAATATAGAGTGTCACCTGTCGCTCTCCTTTCCTGCTGCACTTTTAATACTATTTAAACATTGCAGCTCTAAAAGGGATTTTCATCTATTTGGTTATTCATCATATCTTTTGCCGATGGTGTTTTAGGAGTCAAGTTTACTCCGAAGAAACACTAGGAATAAATTTTTTTAGCTTTTTGGTTTTCCTTTATTAGTTTAAGTTGGTACGTTTTACACGCACATAGGAAACCCGGTTATTAGGAGAAAACTTGTGACGGCTTGTTTACATGCACTGCAATGACTTCATAACTTAATACAATTAAGTGCAGCTGGTCAGCAATCAAATTTCTTCTATACCCACTAATATAGCTTATATATTTCAGGCGTAGAAGTGATAAGATGCTGCAGTGCGACACATTGTATTTATCCTCAAATTGTCTTCATTAGAAGTTCAGCTTTTCTTTTCTTTTTTATGTTATAGTCTCGTCTTGTGCCAGCCCTGAGGCAATGAGTGCCAATCTGTTTCCTTCCTTACTGTTTTCTAGAGAATGCCAGCTCCGATCAGACTGCGGGAGCTGATCCGGACTATCCGGACAGCAAGGACCCAGGCAGAGGAGCGTGAGATGATCCAGAAAGAGTGTGCTGCTATACGCTCGTCCTTCAGAGAGGAAGACAACACATACCGGTGCAGAAATGTGGCAAAGCTACTTTATATGCACATGTTGGGCTACCCGGCACACTTTGGGCAGGTGTGTTTGGTGATTACTGGTTAATAGAGGAAGCTTTTTGGATTCCCAGTGACATTATTGTTGCGAAGCTCACACCCTCGGTGACTTGCTTTCCAGCTGGAGTGCCTGAAGCTGATTGCGTCCCAGAAGTTCACTGACAAACGAATAGGCTATTTGGGAGCTATGCTGCTGTTGGACGAGAGGCAGGACGTCCACCTACTAATGACAAATTGCATTAAGAAGTAAGTGGAGGCAAGAACCTCAGTGAATATTTTTAATATTTTCCCTTTTAAGATGTTTTTTTTTTGCAATGCACAGCAATTTGATCTTGATGAAAGATGAAGTTCAAGACCTGTGCTTTAAAGAATGAGGTGTTGGCAATTTGGATCCCCAAAATGTACCTTCCCTGCTGCTGTAACTTCATCCAAAATGTTTGTTGTACCTATATTTCTGTGTGTCCATGACTCATTCAGCTCTCTTCCTTCAACACAGTGACTTGAATCACAGCACACAATACGTCCAGGGCCTGGCCTTGTGCACTTTGGGTTGCATGGGCTCCTCAGAAATGTGTCGTGACCTTGCCGGTGAGGTAGAGAAGCTGCTCAAAACATCCAACTCCTACTTGAGGAAAAAAGTAAGCCTGATCGATACTTTTTAAAATCTGTGGTTGTCTGTTAATGAGTGAGAATGATGGCATGTGTGCTGACGCGGTGAAATATTGTGTTAAATGTTGGACCGTTTCCTCATTGTGACATTATTGTTACAATGTTATGTGTAAATATCTGTTGACAGGCAGCGTTGTGTGCAGTTCATGTCATCAGGAAGGTCCCAGAACTTATGGAAATGTTCCTTCCAGCCACAAAAAACCTGCTGAGCGAGAAAAACCATGGTAAGTGTAAAGGGTTTGTCAGGATGTTGCTGCCTCGTGGGGATGTGTGCCTGTCCCACATCAATGCAGATGGTTTCCTACTTCCTGCCACTCGCACTGCTTTGCTCAGTGAAGGCTAGCCAGCTCATGTCCTTTTTGTGGTGTGCTTTGCAGAGGAGAGTGGAGTCAATAAGTCTGTCATAAGAACAGTATGTCACGGGAAAAGATCTTTCGTTACGGTCCCGAAATTACATTGTGTGACAATGCAGTAGTGATTGCTTCAGACAAAACACTTTGAAAATGCATGTGTTTTGTTTGCTATTTTTCTAGATCATTGTTTGTCTTGCAATTAATAATAACAACATTAAATGGAAGATGGTGTGACATGGCCAAAAGATACACAAATATGCACCAAGCATTGTCTGGAATTGCTAACGCAAACTCATTTTAAAAAATCCAAAGAAATATTGGATTCGTAATCATGCATGTTGTAATTAGACCATGTATGCATATTCACGTTTAAAGAAACAACCAACCTAATCGATGATATGAATATGTTCTCTTACCTGTAAGAAGAACAATTACAGAATTGATTACTTAGAACGTGTCAAAATGCAACTTCCAATTCCTGACTTATTTCTGACTGTGTTGTGCAGCTCAGAGCTCACCGTCCACCGCCACTGCTCTCCACTGCAGTCACTTACATGATTAGTTTTCAACCTTGTAACATTCGGATCAAGTCACAAGAAAATGATTAGATATTCTTAGAGATTTATGATGCTGTCACCTGATGTTCCCCCGCAGTTAATCATATGTCTGCTAGTCCATCATATTTCTTTGCCAAAGTGAAGGGTCTGGCAAAGAAACGTACTGTATTGACCTATCAAATGCAATACAAGCGCACACTCCTCCGGTCATGATAAGCATTCAAACTGGCCCTCCTGAATTTATTTTTATTGTATCATTTATATGTAAAATACTTGCATCCACTTACATAGTCCCTTGTGCTTTGAGGTCTGAATGCCCAGCAACAAATGTGTAACGTAGAAAAGAAACTAGACAAACTCTCATGTCAAAATATGAATTTAGCCTTTTCCCTTTTCTCTTTCCCCAGGTGTTCTCCATACATCGGTTGTCCTCCTCACTGAGATGTGTGAAAGAAGTCCTGACATGCTGGCCCACTTCAGAAAGGTAACGACACATTCTCTTACCCAGAGGACCTCGCTGTAGTTGCTTACGCATTTGTCTTAAGCTCACGTCACATTTCATTCTCCTTTTGCGTACAACATTTCCTTTTTGGTAGAGCTAAGCTGAGACAAACATGCTAAACTTTTGAGGCTACAGGTTTGCTCTACATTCAAAGTATGTCTCAAGTCTTTTATCTCCGACCACTGTCTTTTCCTCTTGTATTTCAACTGCTGCTGTACCTCTTCTCCTCCAGGTGTAAATCTGTGCCAGAAGCACCGCCCCTCATGCTCATGATCTAAACTTTATTTTTAAGCTTTCTGAAAGTGAATGATTTCCAGTTTCCCCTCCCTAACATCTACCTCATATTTTTTCTGTCATTTGTCTTTGTTACAATTCCTGCATTGTGTTAGAATGAGAAGGTAAGAGTACATTCTGATCTCATAGCTGGTGCATGCTGTAAATAGTCATCACTCCTCACACTCGCCTCAGACGTGATGTTGAGTAATGTCATGTTGTGTTTTAATTTCTAATTTTAATTTGGTTAACTTGTACAGTGATCATTACAATGTCAGTGTTTTTGAAAATGATGAAATGATCTTATGGGCCATTTGTCAGACACATCTCTCACTATTGTTGTGTGTAATTCTTGCCTAATGTGCAACTCATTTGATCACGCTTTTATTTAAAAGCAGCTGGTGGGTGTGTTCACATTAATTGCCACAGGTGTTGTCACCGGGAACGGATGATTGCCACTGTGTCTGTGTCACTGTTAGAGGGGAGCTTATTTGTCATGTCAGTTACTGTCTTAGTGCCCCATTCTGGCATTTTGGGTTGCTTGTTTGTCATCATACCCACAGCAGAGGAGAAGATTTATTATTATTTACCCTGTAAAGGGAGCTGGTCTCAAACATGTTCAGTGTGGCAGAAAGTAGCTTCTAACAACTCCAAACCTGTTTTATTTACAAGCCAGTCTTTGTGTTTTCGGCCTAACGCATCCTACACTTATCTATGTTCTGGATGCAAAGAGATGCATTGATGCCTAATCTTCTAATTCCATGCTGGATAAGACAGCATGCTGTTTCCCAAAGTGCTGGAGTGTTTCTTTAAGGTTACATTTTGATAACCTTTTTCTTAAGCCATTGACAGATTGAAATTACATAGATGAGAAAATTGATTTTTGTGGCAAGACAATGAGTTTCCTATCTTAATACAATTCATTTTTTTTGTCTCGGGAATTGAATTAAACTCTAGTTTTAAATCTGCTTATGTGTATTTAGTGTCACTCAGAGCTTACAGACGTGTGAATGCAGATGTTCTAACCCAATATATTTGTACGAGTTTTGGTTTTACAACTTTGGCTATTCAATCACCTGTCAACCATATTACTCTACCTCAAAAAGAGAAAATCCCAACCCTTTTGCTTTTGGTATGAGTTTGGCTGGCTGCCACTGTCAATGACAAATTACTAACTTTAACAGTTAACGAAGAACGTGATGTCAATGTTAAAGAGGAAAAGTAGAACATTTGAGAGATCTACTCAAAATACTGTGACACGTCTCCTTTTCTGTTCTGTTGTTGGTCTTTTTGTAGCTGGTCCCTCAGTTGGTGAGAATCCTGAAGAACCTAATCATGTCTGGATACTCTCCTGAGCATGATGTGTCTGGCATAAGTGACCCTTTCCTGCAGGTAAACCTCCCTCTTTCTTGATACCCTGTACTGTTAAGTGCAGATTTCTATCTGGCGTGATGAGCAACCAATGATCAGAACTTGTGATGCGAGCATGGCATCAACAGGAAGTTCAGTCAGAATTACAAACGAGTGAAGTGTTGAACACTGAAATGCTGAATGATGATAAAATGAGTGATCCATCGTCTGAGAGACCATGTTGATACCATTTATTTTCTGACAGCATTTGTCTCCTCACTGTGTGGAGTTTAGATAACTTCATTAGGACAAACGTATTAAAGAGAATGAAAAGGAATAATTAAATTTAAATGTACATGGATGTTTATTAAACAGAAAGTTTACAGTCAGAATTGCAAACGAGTGAAGTATTGAACAGTGGGACAAGAGAAATCTGAATTCAGCTGTGGGAGTGAATAAGGCGCGTCACACATGTCAAGTGATCTGACAGGACCGGACTGTTTCTTTCTTTCCTTAGGTACGGATATTGAGACTGCTGCGAATTTTAGGCAAGGGTGACGATGACTCCAGTGAAGCAATGAATGACATTCTTGCACAGGTTAGAAATGAACTTGATCAGTGTTGTTGTTTTTTCTTTTTCGGCAGAAGCTTCTCAGGTTGAGTGTTCTATTGATAAATGGTATTTGTACTTACAGGTTGCAACGAACACAGAGACGAGTAAAAATGTAGGCAATGCAATTCTCTACGAGACTGTGCTGACTATAATGGACATTAAGTCTGAAAGTGGACTGAGGGTGAGTTCATTTGATATAAAGGAACTCTTTGTTTGAGCATTTTTCTTCGCGGCTAAATTTCCTTTTATCTCGCAGGTTTTGGCCATTAACATACTCGGTCGCTTCCTTCTAAACAATGACAAAAATATAAGGTAACTCATTCGCTTATTGTACTTTTCTTGACCGCATTGAGTCATCTAAAATCCTTCTTTCATTCCTTATGGTATCTTTTTAATTTAACTCACCATTTCAGATACGTGGCATTGACATCTCTACTAAAGACCGTACAGACGGACCACAATGCAGTGCAGAGGCATCGGAGCACCATTGTGGACTGTTTGAAAGACCTGGATGTGTCCATCAAGAGGTGATTCACAAGTGCATTACACTGACTATCGATAACACCCGAACTATCCCTTTAAACAACAAGTTTACATTTCTTGCTATGTAGCCACGTTGTTTCTGACCTACTGTGTACTTGTCATTGTTGTGTAGACGTGCAATGGAACTGAGCTTCGCCCTGGTGAACGGCAACAACATCAGAGGCATGATGAAGGAGCTGCTCTACTTCCTGGACTCCTGTGACCCGGAATTCAAAGCAGACTGTGCATCAGGAGTCTTTCTAGCTGCGGAGAAGTATGGCACTGACGCACAGACTTCACTTCATATTACACCTGTGCTCGGCTGCTTTGTTATAATTAGATCTATTAGATAGTGACTTCTTCATGGGCGCGGTTGTAAAAGAGATTTTCAGCTGTTAACTTTCCTTTCTTGGCACTTTTTAAGGTCCAGGTTGCTAGAACCGGACAGAAGTAATCATCTGCATGAGTTCGATACATGTAGACTAAATATGAGTTCTGCCTGTGAAGAAGTAATAAACATCAAGCTAAACGCTAGTTTGTGTTACTGTAGTGGACAGAGGACGGCTAATGCTGAATGATGATAAAATGAGTGATCCATCGTCTGACAGACCATGTTGATACCATTTATTTTCTGACAGCATTTGTCTCCTCACTGTGTGGAGTTTAGATAACTTGGCATGTTCAGGATCTGGACTAATCAATGTATCATGTTACAGGTATGCCCCTTCGAAAAGATGGCACATAGACACCATTATGAGAGTCCTGACAACGGTATGTATATTACAAACACACTTCAGTTTGATTGTTGGTTGGAATTGATTCTCAGTGTGCACGATCAAAATAAGTATTACATTGAGAACTTCTCATGATCTAATCATATCTGGTAATATTCCAGTTTGATTGATTTTTGATATTCTGAAATTCAGTCAATGCTGCTTTAGTTTGACTGGAAACAAAGAAATACTTGTTTGGCTCTGTCATTGACGTCTGTGCTCACCCTTACAGGCAGGGAGCTATGTGCGAGACGATTCTGTTCCCAACCTCATCCAGCTCATCACCAACAGCGTGGAGATGCATGCCTATACGGTCCAGAGACTTTACAAAGCACTGCTTGATGACATCTCACAGGTCAGAGCAGTTCTGGTCTGGATTTGGGACATCTCTGTCTCTGAAGCACACAGTCATACCAGCTTAAGAATGCACCAGAATGGACTTGTGTTTCTCTGTTTTCTGTAGCAACCTCTAGTGCAGGTGGCGTCCTGGTGCATAGGAGAGTACGGGGACCTGCTAGTATCTGGACAGTGTGAGGAGGAGGAGCCCATCCAGGTACACCTTGAATGAGCCCAGTCAGTGTGCACAAACCTCAAACCAGAGAGAAACACCAGATCATCAGATCATCAGATGTTGTGTCTTTCTTCTCTTTTTGATTTAAGGTTTCTGAGGATGAAGTTCTGGACGTGCTGGAAGGCCTCCTGGTGTCCAACCTGTCCACACCTGTGACTCGGGGTTATTCCCTGACTGCCATCATGAAGCTGTCCACTCGCTTCAGCGGTGTGAAGTGAGTAGTGGCCTTTTACATTCATCCTTTACTTTGAAGCTTTGCAAATCCTTTGAGTGCTAAGGTGATAACGTTCACGTTACTTTCCCCTTTTCTAACCTGTCAAATTTTAAATTTTTTGTTTCAGCCGAATCAAGAAGGTGGTTTCGATATATGGCAGCAGCATCGACGTGGAGCTTCAGCAGAGAGCGGTGGAGTACAACGCGCTGTTCAAGAAATATGACCACATGAGGTGCAACTGCATTACACATCAAATAATCACAACCTCTGTAGATAAGGTGGTTGTGTTTGGTGCGTCTTTTGTCTCCCTCCTTATTGCTTTCCTGTTCTTTGACTTTAGGCCAGCTCTCCTCGAGCGAATGCCCATTATGGAGAAAAGTGCTTCTAATGGCCCCACAGAGATTGTTCAGACAAATGGGGAGACAGAGCTCTCTGTTGTAGAATCAAAACATCCGCCACCCGTCACCCAGCCAGCCAACCAGGTGAGAGATTACTTTATGATTTAAGATGCAAATATTAATTTGAGTCATTAAATAAACAGTTGACAGAATACTTTCTTGTACCGTGTGCTGTAATATTTTTGTGCAAAAAAAGGTGACTTTACTAAGTTGTGTTGTTTTTTGATAGAATAGAACTTTTTTCAAATGGTTAAGAAATTTGAAAATAATGAATTAATGTCTCTTGATAATGAATAGTTATTAGGGCTGTCTTTGACCAGATACATTTGTAGTCGACTAATCGATAATTTAATTTAATAAGTTTCTCCATGAAGAATCACACAAAAGCCAAAGATTGGTGGACTAACCGAGAAGGGGCAGCCCTAATTTATTTTTGTAGTATAATTGTTTTTTAATATGGTGTATACATAGATATTGCAGGTGTTTGATCATGTCCACATGTTGTCCTTGTTCCCCAGGCTAATGATTTATTAGACCTGCTAGGTGGTAACGACGTGGTTCCAGTAATCCAGACCACGATGCCCACCAAGCCTGCCTCAGCTGGAGGAGAGCTGCTTGATCTGCTGGGTGACCTCTCGCTAAGTGGTAGGATGCTCTCCTAAATGCTCTCTAGGACCTGGACTAGACTTGTGTTCTCCCCCAGTGTGAATGTAGTGCCCACCTTGTGCCTGCTCCTGTTCAGCAGTAACGTACTGCTGACACGGTCTGGGTTTTGGTATAAAGAAAGTGAACCCATGTGTGTTGCTGTCGCCTCTTTCCAGGCGGCCCGGCTCCTGCTCCCTCTGTGCCCTCTTCCCAACCCTCTTTCCTGCTGGATGGCCTCTCCTCACAGCCCCTGTTTAATGACATTGCAGGTGCAGGTTAGAGTCTGTTGCTCCCCTTGACCACCCATCTCCAAATATCATCCAATGAAATGTTCGTAATCATGTCTCTAAATCTTTTGCTGGTTTGCTCCTCTGAAATCTCTATGTAGCTATTCCTCCTATGACTGCATACAACAAGAACGGGCTGAAAATAGACTTCACGTTTGAGAGAGCTAATCCCAATCCAAACATCGCCGTCATCACCATCCATGCTTCCAACTCAACAGAGGCAGATATGACAGACTTTGTTTTTCAGGCTGCAGTACCAAAGGTAAGCAGGCGCAATCTCACAATGATATTACGTGGTACGTTTAAATGCATAATGGTGTTCATGACTGATGACAATGGGAATGTTCTTCAGTTTTGCACTACAGATTTAATAGCGTGCAATGCCACTAATGTGTACATCATGTATGCAGAACCTACACAAATATACATTTTTGATCTGTAATCTAAAAACTAGTCTTTTACTCGTTGAAATGAATCATTGATAAAATGTAAATGTCTTTGGTATGCTATTTTCAACTGTATCAGGAAGCCTTTTTTTTTTTTTTTTACTGCATAAGAGATGCTGTAAAAGCCACCACATTTCGTCTCTTGTTTGTTACTCGTGTTGTTCTCGAAATTCCATTCAACTACCCAAAAATGAAGTATTGATCTATACTAATGGTTACAGATTTTAAAAGTTATGATTATTGCAAATCTATCCGACCTCATGAGAGTAGCGCATGTTAAGTGCCACCATAATCTGTTGTTTCTCGTGTCTAGAATTTACATCATACTTCGTCTATGATGTCTTAAACAGGACAGGAAACTATAAAAAAAAACATTCGTCAAATACTCTTTCAGTATGTTTGAAGTAACTTGCCTCCAGCCCTAAGAAAGATGCTTTTGCCTCACTCTATTACAAGTTCAAGAACTAGACAGACGGATCAGCTATAGAGGTGTTTATCAGGGAGCTCTGGCAGCCATGACCGATCAGGCAACAAACACAGATTGAGTGACGTTGGTTATTCTGCATTGCCTGTTTTACGATGACATTCTCTGTTTGATTTGACCTGAGGTTCCGTCAGTCGTGGTCAGTGTGTGATCAATGTAAGCATCCGTATTTCATGCTGCCGTAATGACCCCATGTCTCAACGGGCATCACCAAACATTCATAGACCGTTGTGTCCCCTCTATCTGTTTGTCAGACATTCCAGCTGCAGCTCCTCTCCCCCAGCAGTAATGTTGTCCCAGCACTCAACCAGGGAACCGTCACACAGGTCATCAGAGTCCTCAACCCACAGAAGGTGAGTTTGTCCTTCACAAATTGTGTTTATTTCTTTTTGTCCTTTTTGAAGCACACTAAGCGTACATTTAAGACCTGTACCGTCTCAAATGATAAGCAAGAATGTCTTTTTTTTTTTTTTTTTTTTTTTTTTTTTTTTTTCCTTTTTTTTTTTTTTAATAAACATTATCATCCTCACCAAATTTCAGCAACAGCTTCGAATGAGGATCAAGCTGACGTACACCCTCAAAGGCTCGCCTGTGCAAGACCTGGCTGAGGTGAATAACTTCCCTCCTCAGTCCTGGCAGTGATGAGCTGCTCCTGTCGCTCTTAAAAGCCCCGACCAAGGGAACTATGAAAACGATTCTCCTTTCACCTCCCTCCTCTCTTCCTATGGACCCCCCCCTCCCCCGTGACGTCACTGCAGCCCCGCTGCCCTCGAGTTGCATGGGAGCATCTAACACAGGAGAAAAATACAGATGTTAAGAAGACCCTGTTGACTATTGACATCACCAGAATAATTGGGAAAACATATCAATCAATGAACTTTCTTTTTCTTTTTTTTCTTTCTCAATTGGTTTCCTTCGTGTCTTTAGTGTAGTAGTACTATTTTCCACATAAACCCTCGCTCGGCACCATTACGACCCACAAAAGCACACATGCACCCCATTTCCTGTGGCACACTTCACATCCCGAGTCACTGTAGTACAGTGTTGCCCACCATGAGCACTGCAGTAACCATAGTCTTATTTTCATTTATAGTTAAGCTAAAATGCAGTTGAAACCCTTTGCTCTATTGATATTAATGATTGGCTTTTCATTCAGGTTTTTATATGAACCTTCAGTCCTTCAGCAGCAGAAAAAGACCAGCGCAGTTGTAAACTTCTAGGTAACCTTTGACCCTCCACACATCCTGGGTGATGTCATTTGTCAGATAGTTGTATTCATTTTGAATTGCATACATTTCCTTAAAGCATGTTTGAGCATTTGTAGGATCACAATTGCACCCTTATTCCAGCTCTGGTTCTGGTTGTAGGTCTCTCACTCCTCTGTTTGTATCAGGAAGTAGACTACCAGGAAGTAGTCTACATTTGTTTTGACACACGGATAAGAGCTTTACAACATCCAAGAGGCCCAGTTTGGTTTCAGACAATGTGCCCAGACTTCCCCACACAGCTCCTCAAATCATCTCATCGTTGCTTTTAGTTCTCGATCTGTATAATAAATCCAACGGTTACTTGCTCAGTAGTTTGAGGAGGTGCATTCATTAGGATGAATGAAATCCAGGCCTAACATTTATATCAATATAAGCCGATTGCATTTGTGTTGGAGATCTGTGTTTAAACTTTTCCCGCATCCGCGTCATCGCAGTCTAGCTCGCAATCTAGATAGATTTCAGATTTGTTTAACCTGGTTGAACTTGGTCACCATGCACATACATGTAAATGAAGCTTGTTATGAATGTAGTTACATGCACTGAATGCTTTTTTCTCCCCTCCCCTTCAAGTCTTTCTCATGGCTGTCTCTTTGATGGGGACACTCATCTTACTGGCACTCTTTTTGTGAATGTTTATTTTATTTCTGCAGTAATTTGACTTAATTATTTATGCCTGATCTCAAAGTGATGTGCCTTTCTGACTTGGGTGGATAAAAGCCCCTGAACTACTGAGTTCTGTATGAGCTTCGTTTGTAAGTCTTGCTTGTGTGCTGATCTATTTTTTTTTTCTTTTTTTTTTCTTTTCTTTTTTTTTTCTTTTTTTTTATATTATCTGAGGGAAATGGTCTTGATGGATCTAAAGCTGTAAATCACTTAATTTAAATTACTTGTTCACTTCTGTATCTCATAAGTTAACAGTCAGTCATCCACTAATACCGGCCTACCTGGATGTCCACATGTCTTTTTGTCTTTGTTTTGAGAAAAACATAAATTATAGTGACACAATGTTTCTTTCCCTATATTGTGCGGCAGACTTTCCATTAAGAATGCTTAAGTCCTAAAAAAAGCAAATCTCAAACATTAAGGTTTCAAGTGTTTTTAAACAGTATGAATGTTCCACTGAAGTGAAATATCATTAGGACGCCCACAAACGTTGAAGTGTGAGTTGGGATCACTCGCTGAGGTACTGGGACTTGTGGCGACTGTGTGATTTCTCGGCTCTCGTCGTCTCCAAATCAGAATTCTGACCATGCTGTCGGGGGGGCAGTAACCTTAATACCTCACGATGTTCTGTCTTTCTGTTAACTTTGAGTTGCAGTGGAGTGACAGCTTTATTTCGTCATGAATTGCAATCAAGGGGAGCATCTACTTAGAGAGAACCTAATGGCAGTCTACATCTCATTACTTAACGAGCTTGGTGGCCCTGCGCCGCTGCGTTGAGCTCCTCGGAGGTTCAATCAGGCAGTTTTCTTTTCACTGTCTTCTAACTTCTGTGACCAAATCAGAGACTATTAGCTTTGGAAATATTTTTGAGCTATATGTGTATATGGAGGAAATTATTGCAGTTTAACTTTTTTTTCTGTTGACGAATGCTATATTGGCTTTTTTTCTGTACATATTGAGGGCTTTTACAATTGTGTCTCTTGTACTATCTTTCATCATTTTTTTTAGATACCATTTTCTAAAAAATTCCAATTATTCACAATGTATATTGTCTAAATAGATCTAGTCAACATCAGTCTATAGAGGCTTCCCTGTATCATCACTCACTCATTGTAAAAGATATATCATCTGCTGCCTGTACATTGTATATAGTTGTAAAACAAACAAAAGCTGATCAAATTAAATAAAACCCACATGAAGACTAAGAAGACTAGCTAGGAAGTATAATTGTATGCATATATGTACAAAACAAAGAACCCTAAAAGGATGCAATTGAGCTGCATTTGATTTACCATTCTTCCTACTTCATTCATTACCGGATGTGTCATCTTTACTTTTACAAAGATGGTAGGCTACTGGTCGGGGTTCCTTTTGGATGTTTAAATAAGGGTTGGATCTCCCTTAACAGATGTTTGAATGATGAACTTCTGCGAAACCTAAGCACAGTGCTGCACAACTGCAGAAGGGGCTCCTTGCTTCGTCTGCGTCTCTAACCCCCTTAAATGCCTCATGTATCCACGCCCTCCTTCGGAGAGGAGCAGCTTCCTGGCCTCGTTTGGTTTAGCTTTCTGCACTCTTGACAATTTAAACTATTAAACTCCTTTCAACCTACAAATTGATTCTTGAAATGATGCCCTGTGGTCTTGGCGTGGTTGACTCTCACGGTTGCCGGTTACCTTTTTGCTGCCATGTAGCACCTTCTTAAAGGCATTATGTCTCAAGCAAGCAAGTGCCACACTCATTTTGTTCATTTTCCCAGTATGGCCAGTAGGTTTAAATTGTAATGGAGTTTTGTCTAGAGCTGATAGACATATTACTGTGTGCTAAGTGGTCCCAGATATGTATGTATGAGCAGCAGTGTCCTTCCCTGGATCTGAACATTTCAAGGCTTTTTTTTTTTTTTTTTTTTTTTTTGTTTGGCTTCCTTTCCGTCCATTATTGTTGACTTTATTTGCCTCTGCACAGCACAGCTTTCACTTTCTCTTTGCAGTCACTGATACACATGTCATCAGAGCCCTCACTGTTTTAAATTCAACTTTACATGGCAGTCAATCACGGCAGGATTTGAGGAAGGAAGACAACTTTTTTTTCTTTCTGTTAAGACCTTTATTTTGTGATTATGGATTGCTGCTTTACCAGCCTCAACACAAACCTGGGACAAACCTGTGCTACAACATAATGACCACAAGGGGGAGCTGTGCAAAATGGAAGGCTGACGGGATGGGAAAGGAAGTGTCGTACATCAATTCCTGAAAAGTTTTTGTTGGTGTTTGTATCATCTTATTCAACCAGTACTTACCCTTGTTAATCACATCTGATCAGTTCTTTCAATGACACCGTAAATTCATGCAGTTTTAAATGTTGGAAATTAACCTAACATTAGTGCTTTGGACACTAACTTAAAAGGAAGTAAAGAAACAAACAAATACCCATCAGCGGTGTGATCAGCGTTTGAGGTGGTGTGTGTGTGAGTGAGAGAGATTGTGTGTGAGATTCTGAGACAGAAAGAAAATAATCATGCTTGAAGGAGCGTGATGGCGTGCAACATGTCTTAAATAAATAGGACATGATTTTTGGCTGCAAATTAATCTTTCAGCTTCTGAGCTGCATGTGAAAACCAGTGTAAATAATGTCATTTCTACTCTTGACCTGAGACTCTTTTTGAAATGCAAGAAAAGTTAAATTAAGCTCCGTCACACCGTCATGGGTCAGTACTAATATGTACTATAGGAGGTTGTTCAGATAGTGCTCACAATATTGTTAATTTTTTTTAGAGTGATGCAAGTGCACATCCTTCATTTGGGTTCGTTGGATTTGGATAATTTGATTATTTTTTAAATTTGTTTGGGTGAATTCAGTGTGTCGAGGGCTTGGAAGAGCATCTGAATTGCCACCCATGTTCACGTTCCCTGTTGAATCTAAAATGCATCCATTGTATTTTGAAAACATAACCCCAAGGCCTGTCCTGACTGTAAAACAATATGGTGTCTGATGTGTTGGGGCCAGGGTGGAGGCATGAGTTTCACTTTTTCCAGTCAAGTTTGATGCGTTGAACTGAATCCCAGTCCCATAGCTTCAACGTGAGCGTGAATGTCAGACTGAAAGGATGAAATGATGATTAAAGATGAGGAGTTGTAAACTATTAAATGGGATATTTTCAATTTATGCTGTGTATTCTTGTCTTTGGGTTGGCGAAAATGATCAAGCAAATAAAAAGTCAAAGAAAAATCGAGTTTGTTTTCTTGGTTTGGGGATGTGGTGTAACAAAAGATGTCACGCAGGTCATCGGGTGTAATTAGAATTAGTGCTATATGCTCATTATTAGGTTTAATAGATATTTGCATCAATGTGATGGACCTTGATTTCTTACATCACACTTGTGGTGGATTGTTATAATACTGTAATAAGTAGGGAACAAATAAAGATTGCATTTAATCATATAGTGTATATCAGACTATTTTAAAAACGATATGGGCAACTAGCAGACATGTAGCTGCTTTTATCAAGCATCTAATAAATTAACAGGTTAGCATGATGGGCCTCTGGGAATCAAACCTTCACCATATTGTGTGTACTGCAGTGATGGAGGGTGAGCGGGGATCTGTGAAGAGCTCAATGTGAATAAGTTAAAGAGTCTACCTCAAATTTCTTTTTCATGGAAGACATATTGACATAGAGAAGTACAGGTGTGAGTGGTAAAGTGATTATGGCTGAATTCCATTTAGCTGCTTCAGTTTCAGGGTCCTGAGACCCGAATTAAGCTCCTCCCACGTTAGTCAGTGATAATTGTGCATTTTGTGCAAAATGGTCTTTAGTTTCACCACCAAGTTACTAGTTTTTAAGTAAAGAAAGATTCTCATTATGCTAGCTTTGTGTTTCAGCTAGCGTTAGCTAAATTAAAGCTACAGAAATTAGACTGTATTCTGTTAACGCTAATGTTATTAGTTACACAACGGTTAACGTTAATATGAGGAACGTTGAACTGTATATTAAAACGTGTCTAAAAGGATGCAAATAAGTTTAAGTATAGTATGTTATCTAGCTAATTAAGCTAGCTAGCTAGTTAGGTTAAAGTTAGCTAGCTTAACACAGGCCTTAAACAAACAATTTAAAGGATAGACGTTCATAAAACTCCTTAAATCCTGTAAAGTTATGCTAGTTTTATTTTCTAACAACGCATCCGTTATTAAGGAATATTTAAATACTAAACTTGTGACTTCATTAATGGTTAATAATCTTGATGTTTTATAGTTGTAATAACAACCATGTTATCTGACGTTAAATAAATAGATATTGTTCCAAATGCACCACGGCTCTTTAACAGAAGCTAAGTGGTTAAAGCAATACATATGTTTACCTGACACATAGAAGTAAAACTACAAAGCTCTTCTCATTGGCTAGTTAGATGACAACAAACATAATAATCATGTCTTATAACTGATCTATAAAACATTGATAAAGCCAAGTTACAGTTTATGAATAATTTCTTAATTATAATTACTTCAACAATCATTTCTTTGAGAGGGGGCGATGTTAAAGAAAATAGAAAATAGCATTATTACATGATTGTTATAGCTATTGATACCATGACAAATATAAATACAATCTACAAAACCCAACAGGTTTAACCCCGTGAGTAATTCAAAACACGCCCTCCAAGGGCATACATCGTGGTGTTTCGTTGTGAATCGCATCAAGTGGTAAAAGTCTTGCTTTTATGACTAGTACGCCTCTCCCTTCAAATAGGGGCAGCTGGGTATGAATAACAAATACCCTGAACCCGCCCATTTAATGTTTATTGATCAGCTCTCCAGCAGGCCTATCTGACAGCACTCACATTCAGTCTGGATATGGCGTCGCTGCACCGACACGGGATGCGTTTTCACCTCTCTGTGGGAATTCGGCAGTCGCGTACCGGGACGGCACTTCTCGGCTCTCGTCGCTGTTAATAGCGATCATACATGGCGATGGAGGACGAGGATAATAGCACAGCGGTCGTGGCGACGAACACCCAACAGAAAGGAGGTGATGTCGGAGATAACGGGGCTTGCATAGACAGGCAGCCGGACACGGTGGTACACCAAGCGGGGCTGAATCAGACTGCAGGTCGCGGCAGCCGCAGTGGTCCGGGATATCATGCTGCGACGGGGATCCGAGTGCTCAAGGCAAGTCATAACGGGGGGGCGGGGGGGTGATATATGTTGTTGTGATGCAGCATTCAAACAGTGCTCGACAAATGTCTCTGTATTGTGCTACATGTCAATGTTTTTCTGGCATTGCAGTTCGTGATTCAAACAGGGCAAAGTGCATGAGAGTGAGAACGCATCCTTGTAATGTTATGTAATGGCTGTGCTATCCAGTGATTGGTATTCTCGGGTTGATGATTGATCTGTGGATGAATGCCACTCAGTGAGGAATGTACCAGAGCCAATTAACACACACAAACACACACACACACACACGCACACACACATACACACAAACACACTGTATGCTGTTAGAGCCTTTCTTTTAGGAAGGCCCACTGCTGAACAGTTCTTCTATGACATTTTAGGTCAAGACACATGATGTGTAATGACATGTAGTTCCCTGGGGTAACTGCTCACAAGGCAACGACAAACACACACACAAAGAATCTCAGCTGTGCTATTCAATGCATGTGTATGCATTACTCAGTTATTGTATTTGAAGGAAGAGTGCACATCAAAATCATACAATAAAATAGGTCACCTTGTTAAGTGTGTATCATACGTAAAATGTTAGTTTTTGTTCAGATTTGATGAAGCGTCATGATATTTCTCCTAACAAACATTCACCCAGAATCCAGTCAATTTTAAGGACCAATGCTTATAAGTCTTTTTTTTTCATGCCTGTTCACATCAACATAAAATAGATAATCAAGTTGTGTTTTATCCGTACCCGAATGTATTAATTAAATCAGCAGCCACATCCAAAACCTACCTGTCTGTCTGTCTTTGCTAAAGTTTGGCCATGTTTGTTGTTTTGCTGAAGCACAAGATGGTTTGTTTCGTGAAGGGACTAACCGTAAAACTGAACCAGGTCAGCAATCATTCACTGCCATTTCATTTTATATACAGTATATGTATCTACTCCTTTCTGACTCAGGAAAGTTTACACACAGTGACACATCTCACCTGGGAGCTGCCCTGTGGAGCGGCCCAGTATTGCAGTCAACTGGGTTGACAGGTTGAGTGGTTCCACAGCAGCAGGCGGTGGTTTAGTGCTTCACTCAGACGCACATTGACGGCAGCTGACGAGGAAAGAGTGTGGCAGCTTACTTTCACTGTGGTCACAGTTTTTTCCAACAGGTGTGGAATTTAAATTTAGCTGCTTACCTCTCTAACCTCTGGAATAATGCTGCTCCAGTTATGACCCATTCAAGGAGTGAAAGTCTTACATTTTAAAACTTTAGAAACGTATTTCAAAATCATATTATTAAAATGCATTTCTCTATCAATTGGTAACTAATGTGAAAGTGGCAAAACATTATTTTCTAACATTTCTAACATCAAATAGCAGATTTGTTTTTCCAATTTATCTATTGATTAGTTTAATTGTGAATTATATTGTTGTTAATTTAATTAAGAGCTATTACGAAAAGCAATTGATTATGAAATAATGTATTAAATAACTAGAAAAGTGCATTCAGTAGTGTGCAAATCTATGCATAACATACTGTATCAGTGGTTGTCCGTTTTTTGAGTCACTACACACTCACGCACACAGGCACACACACGACCGAACGCATGATCTCCCCACAGTCTTACGCCTGAGAGAGATAATAATAATATTATATATTAATTTGCTCCAGCTAAGTTACGTTTTTGACAGTTGGTCAAAACAAATGATTCATTATTGAATATTATTTCATCATTATGAAAAAAACATAGCTCTGGGAAGTGTTGACCAAGATTAGTCATTATTTTTTGATATCAAAGTTACACAGAACTAATCATTATGATAACAGCGATGTCATCGTGGTTGCAACCCTGACTGCATCTTCTGAGTAGAAGTATTCATGCAGTCAGTTGATGTTTCTGAACTGGTGTTATAGTTTTGTGAAATAGGTAAGCGTTTTTAAATACGGTTAAAAAAATGTAAACAGTGTGTGACTATGTGTTGCATCATTGTGTGTGTGTGTGTGTGTGCGTGTGTTATGACAGGTGGTTGATCTTTGAAAGCTCTCGCTCTGTGGCTCAGTTCTACAGTATCAAGCTGCACCCTCTGTAACTGGTGGTCCAGCAGACTTTTCCTTCACTCACTGAACTACTCTTGTTTTGATGTTTTCCATAGAGGACCCTTTTTTTAAAATGTACTCTTCCTTCACACAGCAGCAAATTGCTCTAATGCTTCCTGAATATCACAACTGAATGAGGCGACGATGGCAACATTTTCAAACAATATTGATGACACCTGTAGGTCAGCAAACTGGATGCTCTCCAGACCTGTGCTTTCATATGAATCTTCTGAATAGATGTGGAGTCAAGGTGCGTCCTTGACAAACTGTAGAGTGTAGTGTGTGTGTGTGTGTGTGTGTGTGTGTTAGTGGGTCTCTTTGTGTGCACGAGCAGAGTCAGAACAGTGATAAGATATCTTTACCTTTGGAACAAGTGACGTGCTGTATTCCTTTGTTGTGCCTGTGAATGGTAGTCTTTCAAGAGTAATTGTTGTTACTGCCATAGCATATTAGCACGACATCAGTTTGAAAAACATCAGGCTGCTGCACATCCGGCTTACATCATCACAAGTGATTAGGGCAAGAATGAACAACATGATATTCTGGTTCCTGTTAGTAATGCAGTCAAAGAGTCCGTCCTCAGAGAGGAAGGTAATCGAATGAACAGACAGATGCTGCTCAGGAGATGTTGAGTTCAGTAGAGGTGAGTCTACAAAGGGAAACAATTGCAAGTATGTTCAGTAGAAATACTTGCGACATACTTGATGGTACCAGAATATTGATGATAGAACATTGATTATGTGGGAGGAAGGGTGCTCCTTCACCACTACAAATACAACTGCACCAATTTCCAGCAGAGTCACCTTCAATTCCTCAGCATGCTTCTCATTCCAGTTGTCCAGACAGAAAGGTGTGCAGCTACATCACTGTGTCTCTCAGAGCATCCTGTTGGATATCAGGAACTGTGGTTGCAGTCCAGTCCACTAAACACTGTTAAACAAATTGAATACATGTTGTTGACCATGGCTGTTATCTATTAACATATCTGATACGTATCTGATGTCAATCTATGTGTTAAAACTACTCATTTTATGTCAGCAGCGCAACATGAAGCGGAATGGGAGTCGTGGCTGTGTGACGAGAAAGACCAGATTTGGATCAAGAGAGCGGGACTGGCTGAAGGGGGACACCCAGCGGGGCTGTGTGTGTCTGTATGGGGGGACAGTGGACCCCCAGCCACCTGCAGCTGGTCCACAGGCCTCCTCCACCCCTCAGACAGACCTGCAGCTGGTGCTCTGCTCCACCAGTACCACAGTGGAGGAACTGTGTGCTCAGAGGGACGGACAGGGACTCTATATTCAGCTGCATGGCGACTTAGTCAGGTAAAATACACACTGAGTTAAGTCGTCAAAGTAAAGTTGTACTTCATCATTTCAGCCATTTGGCAACAATATCCTAAAAAGTTAGAATAGCTGCCCAGAGATCAACTGTAGTTTGAAGGCTTGTGCTGTTCCTTGGTCCATGCATCCAACATCTGCAGTCCTTCATCAGCGTCTTCATTGGATCTATTCAATACAGTGCTGAGTGCTCACAGCTTAATGCGTAATCATGTACTAACGTGGAAATGGGGAAAAAATAAGAAATACAAACTGACTTGAAGCATAAAAAGATGCTTTGGGGTGCAGTTACACAAATATAGTGCAAGTGAAACATGAGATGTTGTACAACTGGTTTAGACAGCTGCTAAAGTTATAATGGAAGCACATCTCTTCCATCGGATGCACAAAAGCAGAGCGTAAATTGGTATAATGACATCCAGTAACATCCCAAAAAAATAGCAATTTAGAAGCAATGTCAATTTAAGTCAATGTCCACATCTCGTCCTTGTTTATATAATATAAAGAAACTACACCAGGCCTGGGCTGTTGCTTGATATCCCGCCTATGAAAACCCGAAACAGAATGTCACCTTAATTAAGCTTGACTTAAAGCAAATAAGGTAAACACAGCACTGAGGACCTGCTGCAGTTCCTCCAACATCCCAAACTCCCACAGCACCTCACTCAGGATACCCTCAGGGAACATGACTGTGTGCCTCTCTCGGCTACACAAGCCATATGAAGACAGAAATAGCAAATGACCCCTTGATTATCTGTGAAAGGATAAAAAGCTGGTTCACTGATCCGTGACCAGGAAGGAATCTGGGCCATTCCTCCTTTGCTTGCCTGGGAAAGCCTTTGTGAAGATATTAGAAAACAGAGTCTAAAATAAGAAATAGTTTAGCTATAGTTTAAATTACAAAGGCTAACGGCATATTCTATGTCAGCCTTACTGTCTCTTCAGGTATTTTTAATAATGAGGAATATTGAGACGGGAGCAAAACCTTCAAATCGTACAAGACATATTGGGTACCAGCTAAATTGTGAGTAGGTGCATTTAAAGTGGAGAATTTGAAATGATACTTGTTGTATTAATGACTTGGAAGATCATGCCATGGACGTGCAGCAGATATTGTGCTGGTGGTTATTAATCACTTTACAAGCTGGTAGCCAATGGTGTGATCAACTCACAGCCAATGAGCAAGCCTCATTATACCTCTGCTGATTAAAGATTGTGGGCATTACACAGTAATGCAGACTGGTAATAAATGAAGCATGTGGATCGGCTGTGTTGGTTCAGTGTACATTCCAGCAGTACAGAACTTAAATTGCAGTCTGCCCAGGTGGATTTAAATCTAATATTAAAGTCTTCATCATTTAACAACAGGGTATTGGTGACTTAAGAAAACTTTTCTGTTTACGTTGAGGAAAAATCCATTCCTACAGACGGACAGCACACCCACGGTAAAGACGAGTCAAGATTTTATTTATTAACGTATTGTGTTTTAAAAAGTGCATACATCCATAGAAAATACATTCAGTTTGACTTTAAAGGGGCTTCTAGTCCTATTCATTTCTCTCCTTTTTTATAAACTCTCTAGATAAATGTTCTATGTGTAATAGTTCTTATTACTGTGACTGATAATAGATGTGTCAACAAACATCTGAAACATGCAAAGCTGTTGGCAGCACTGACACCAGCACTGAAGAGAGGTTTGTTCGTGAGGACATGATGGGAGGGATGGGAGCTTCTTTTAGTGATTTTCTTTTTATAGCTTGTTGTAATGTGCGGCTCACAGGAAGACATGTTCATGGTTTTTTTCCTGCTTAGGGAATGCTGTATTTTGAGTGGAACAAACTCCCTTTTAAGATAAATTTACTGAGACAATGGAGTTGATTGAGGACATTCATCCTTTCATTCATCCGTTTTTGAGCCACTCTTGGTCAAGGTCACAGTGCCAACAAGGTGAGCAGAGCAGTCCGGTGTTGTTTTTTCCCAGCAACAGGCTCTTCCTTGGGGATCCTTAAGTGCTCCCATGACAGATGATATATGTAATCCCTCCGACATGTTCTGGGTATGCCCGGGGTTTCCTCCCAGTTTGTCATGGCCAGAACACTCCCAAAGGGAGGCTCCCAGACATCTCAACTGACTCCTCTCAGGGGAGTTAGCGGCTCGATACCATGGGCCTCCCAAATCACTGAGCTCGTCACTCTGAAATGTAAAGTGAGGCCAGCCGTCCTGCAGAGGAATCTCATCTCATCTGCTTCTATCTACAGTCTGCATGGTGAGGGCCCAGACCAATTGCTATTCAAGAATACCCCTGAGATTGGTCTGGAACAAAGGCTTGGCTTGACTGTGACGAGCTATTTCGAAACCCATGTCTACCCACAAAGATTGTGTTTTGGATTGTTAATTGTAAGCTTTGCTCCATTATGGTCCGATTATTGATTTTCACAGGACTTATTGGTCAATACAGTACAAGGACAGCAGCTAGTTAATAGGTTTAAACAGTTGGGAATGTTCCTTTTCATCTGATTCTTTTGCAAACAACAACCACCTTTTCTCAGCACTCGGCCTCTATGGTAGGGAACTGAACTGAAACCTTGCTAAATGATCTGTGATTTCTGAGGCATCACATCTCATGCCAGCAAATTAGATGTAAAACACACCCTGATGAAATCCACACACCCCACACACCCATTTTCAGATATTTAGGCTGATTAGACCTCTACTCTGGTTGATGTTGAGTGGAGCCATGCTGGGAATTACTAGCACAAACTAATAACGATTGTAAAAGTGAAAAGAAAAACGTCAATCAACCACTGTCTGTACACACAAAACACAATCCAGAGAGGTTTAATTAAGTAAAAGATGTGTATGGATAGACCATTGTTTCTGTAAACCCCAGCTCTCTTCTTCTTCTCTGGGTATGTCTCAAGTAAATCGAGGGACACATTTCCATAGTTTGCTGCAAAATGTACCTTCCACCCTGAGGACAGATTAACCCACTGCATTTGACAGAGATTGAACAGCTTCTTGCTGCATTTCCCAAGATTGGAGGATTTGTGAATAAATGAGGCATATCTAAGTGTAAGCGTCAGTGTAAATGGTCAATCTGTCGGTCGTCCTCCTCCTCGCTGACCTACTGCAAGCTGCGTAAATCCTGCATTGACGTTTTAAGGTGTTGCTGCCACAGCTGTCTGAAATAAAATAACATGATTCTGCAAGTCATATAGTGCACATCGTGCTTGCAAGACTTTCATCATGCAGCCAGACAGTAAGCATTTATGTGAAAGGCTGCTTGAATCAGGCTGTGGGTACTGGATTACAGGATTGACATTGATCCTGTTAGAAATCAGCGGGAAGAGTCCTTAAAGCGATAGTGGACCGAGATGATTTCCTCAGTTTAAGTCAAATGCACAGTTAGAGGTAAAAAGGACCATGATTCAGTCCCTGGCAGTGGTGCCTTCAACTTGGCCAGATCATCTGCCATTGAAGCTATTTAAATTTGTGCTGTGACATGCTGTAAACTTAGACCTTTGGACTGTGCACCTCCTGAACACTCCTAAATTTTTTTCTCTTAGCAGTTGAACTCTCTGAACTTTCCTGCTATCTCATTCAAAATTGGTCTGCTGTTTTTAACGAGGATAAAGAATCGGTTCGCCTTAACTTTGATGTTAACGCTTCAGTGTATGTATCCCCCTTATACTGAGTGAAGGGAACTGGTGGTAACTGCTTTTTGGCGGGCATCATTATACCACCTCTCCTTTTCTTTTGTCCTGTAGGCGGCTGGACCCCTGTGAGCGCCCGCTCCAGATGCTGTATGACTACCTGGCAGCGTTGGGCTACGCAGAGCCTGTACGAGTGCAGCAGGAAGCAGCCAACTCAGACCTCAGCTGTTTGATCCGTTTCTACAGTGGTGAGTACTGACCCACAGGGGCCATCATCCCCAATCTTCACTGTAATCTGCTGCTGCTCAGTGGGATCTAGCAGGAGGAAAACTGACCAAAGGGCCTAAAAACAGGCCACAGCAGGGCAAAACTTTTTTTTAATCTTGTGTCTGTGTGTGTACATGAATGTGTGTGTGTGTGTGTGTGTGCTTCAGCAAGGACAAAGTGAAGCCAGTTGTTGTTTGAGGCTCCTTGAGGGTGATGTCTTTCTGAAGCTGTCTCTAGTATCCAATATAGCCTGGGATGACACAAACGCACACAAATCATGGCCTCATGATAAGTGCCTGACTATCCTTCATCCTGTGGTAATTCTCCATCCCCATGTGGGCTGCTTTTCACCTGATGCTGTCAGCACGCTCCCATGACCCCAGGATCAGAGTGACTAAGTATCCCTGTGTCAGTGTGATATATTAATGCAGTAACAGAATGGATGGGACTCTTTGGGTCTTAATACAGCGCACGTAAACCCACAGACGTCTCTAGCTCTTCCCGTTTGAGTCCGTGCATTGGCCTAATGAAACTCCTACAGTTGCAGCAATGACGGGATTTGCCATTAAGGGAGAATGGTGAACGATGTTCTGTGATGTGTTTTCACTTGATCACTTCTGATGAGTCAGTGGAACTCCTTACGTTTGGGGTTTGAACTCCTCACATGCGGCTGTGCCAGAGAATACAGCGAGCAAACCACAGCGTCTAAAGAGCTCACATGTAAGTCCTCCCACATAAAGTACACAACCCTCCCTACACTGACATTTGGTGCTGCCACACTGAATAAGAATACAAGCTAAACACAAATCTCAACCGCTGTCTATTGAAACTCTCTGGTTGGCTGATTCATGAGGAGACTGTGGAGACATGGCAAGTATTTTAGGGGATAACATGCAAACTCCACACAGAACGGCCCCACAATGAGTTTGATATAATTCTGAGGGTTCTGAGACATTTTTGACTTTTGAAAAGTGTAAAATTTGAATCTTGGACTTCTTTGCAGAATAAGATACTTTGGCGTCCTTTGTCTTTTATAAACACACCATTCAGTCTTGATGATCATCACTCGGGTAAGAAGCAGTAGTGTTGTGTTTTTCTGACTTGAGCTAGCCTCTGTAGAATGAATACAACTTTCTCTTTATGTCGGCCTGTTAATACAACTGATGTTTGTTTGTTTAGCTGTCAGATCTTAAGCTCACTGTGGCCTCAGTCTTATTCCTAGTCCCTATTTGTCCAATTGAAGCTTTACTGTTGTTTGCCCCTTGCCAACATGAGAACTGGTCGGATCTTGGCTACTATCAGCAGTCAGGCCACATTGGTCAGCGTGTAGTCAGGCCCCTTGGAGACTTCCTGCCTCCCTTTGTCAACTCATGGGAAAAGAGGACCAGAGACCAGGCACGAGTGGTACTTTGGCACTCTTGATGCACTGCCAAGGCTGAGGGCACAACTTTGTTTTGGTCATTTTCTGCTCTTAGAACTGGGGGAGGTGGTGAGAAGTACTGTTTTGGAGTATAACTTGCAGCTTGTTGTGGTTGTGTGTTCACCCACCCTCCCTGTGCTGGTGTTCGGGTGCTTTCCAGTCATACAGCTTCACCAGTAGATCTCAGTTCCTGGCTGGCACAAGGTTACCCTGGTTTTTCATTCCCACCCACAGTGGTATTGTAGGTGGGCTGCGATGCATTGTTGAAACACACAACAACTGCCTTGTTCTGAGATCCCTGTCCCAGGTGCTTGCTTGTCTCTCGGCTGTTGTCAGGGGTAATGATCTGACTAAGCAGATGAGGGAAACAGTGGTCCATCAGTAAAGACTACAGCCGCTACTGAACTAGCTGATGTGGTGCAATGCATGTGTCAGCTCTACACGTTTGTCTGTTTTACAGCCTTATTTTCTCTTAAGCCACTAAAGTGTTTCAAAGGGCAATGCAGCAGGTAATTTATTAAACTTCACTGTCCTCTTATTTGTTTAGGAAACTAATCTCGAACCTTCTTCCAACCTCCTGCTTCCCACCCACACACACACCGGCTGTGGTGCACAGATGAGATGAAAACAAACATGGACAGGGGAGTCAATATTTCCAAATGCTGACTTAATAAAAAACCCTCCTAGTGAAAACAAGTGCAGAGACCTGAGGGCCAGTGGTTGTCTGTGTCGGCCCATGCAGCTGCAGCACAGCCTAGTCCGGCTGTAAACTCCACTGATCCCTGGTCCACCTCTGCCTGGGTGATCTCTGCCTTACATCTTTGAGATTAGAGACCTGAAGCTGTTGTGCAAAGTACACGTCAAGCCCACGGTCCGTGTCGGAGCAGAAGGAAATAAGTCATCTGTGAGTAGTGTGAACTCACATTATCACTTATTGATTTTGCTGGTGCTGATTTACTCATGAAAATTAAATGAAGACTGTGGATATCCTAAACTGTGATGACGTGGACAGGGAAACCAATGTCTAACTCTGAGGTCCAGTGGTTTATCTCTGAGTCGTAATAATTGTGTCCTGGAGGAGAGGCTATAATCACAGTGGATAACCAATCAAAGGTGCTTCTTCATTTTATGGTATAAAGGCAGAAAGAATTGGTTTACAGGGCCAAAAAGTGGAGAAGCAGTCAGAATGAGACTTAAGAGAAAAATGAAACTCTGTTCCGATCCGGGTTCCCACAAAATTCCCCCGAGCAACAGAGCTCTGCGAAGGGCAGGCTCTCTGCTGTTTCGTGACAGCTCCTCATAACATGCTGTTTCTGTGATGGAGCTCGGTTTCTCCTGAGGATTTCCTCTTTATCATTTGAAACTGGCAGACTGTCTCTCATCCAAGACTCGTGGTTAGTTTCCAAATGGCTTACTCCCACTGAAAAGTATCCACTATTTTAATGGTCATCTGCATTCAGAAGCAGTATTCAGCGGTGCGTCTCCTGTCTGTGTCGTTCACAGTGTTGACTTGCCACATTTGATATCAGAATTTGAATTTCTTGCACAAAGTTTAGACGAGAGGTTTTTCTTGAGGTAAACACATAAACACAGACCACCAAAAGCGAGCATCTGGGTGGTGGGTTGAATTTGAATTTGCTGCCAAAAAGAGCTTGCTGTTCTGAGTCAAATGAGACTGTGTTTCCGCCTCCACTGACCCCCTACTGAATGCTAACGCAATCTATGCAATCTTGAGCGAGACAGAAAACCTGTGGGATACAGGCAGTATTGTGTTCGACTGAGTGCTCGACAGTTGCCCTGCAATCATGTGATTAAAAGAGTTTCAAAAACGCCCACCAGAACAAGATCAGGAGCTACAAACTGAAAGACATGAACATTGGCACAATGATGTTTGTGTTTGACAATAAAATAGAAAAGATGGCCACTTTACCTGTTTTGGGGTAAATTCAAATTTCCTTATCCCTCCTTCAATGATGAATCCTTTTAAATTAAGCATTTTGCAATATTTCTTTAGCCTTAAGAGGTTTACAAGAGAGCGGATATTTTGACTGAAGTCAGTGTGGTGCCAACTTCTTTTTTCTTAGTGTGCTGACAAACATTATGTATGCTGGCATCCAGTTAATCAACAGCTGTTCTGAATTATACATTGCTACTCTTGTAGATATATTTGAAGACCATTTTCTAAGATAAACTCATATTTTAGAGGATGGAATCATCAAATATTTGTCATTTTTGCTAGAAAAACAACTGACGCTATTTTATTTTCAAAGCTTATCGATTAAGTTATTAATAATATATTTTTAAATCCTTAATAATACATGTAATATTATTAATACAGAAGTTCATAGTTATAGGAATAGATATGATAAAGCCCGGTTTTATTCCTTTACAAGGAGCTATTTTGACAAATGGCATCAGTTTGACATATTCCTGTCTAGCCCTCCACCCAGTTCTAGTTCCTCAGTTCACTTCCGCTCGTATTTTTCATCACCCAATCACATCCTATCTTATACCTGTCACATTCCTTTCAGATCCTTTTTTGCTCCCTTTCCTCTGCCACCTCTCTCTTCCCTCCTATCCCTCTTCACATCTGTTTCTCCGTCCACTTGTATTCTTTAGTGATAAGTGAGCAGAATCTGACCCGTCGTGACCTTGTCGTTGTGAGATGTCACTGAGTTTGCTGGCAAGTGAAGGCTGCAGCCACACTTGAGATGAACAGAGGAGCGATAAGAAGTCGTAAAGTCGACTCTCTGATCTGTCACTTGTCACGCCGTCCCTGTGGTTCGTCAGCCCCTCCGAGGAGGCCGCTTGACCCGCTGATGATTAGTTTAGTGGAGGGCCTCTCTGTGGCCCTGCACCTCCATACTCCCCGAGCTCGGACAACAACATCCTGCAACAGAAAACAGTGTTACACGACATCTGCGACAATGTCACCGAACCCCTCTTGAGCCACCAGGAATGGTCAACAATATTCGTCATCGTTGGGAGGAGATTGATTTGGCTGACGTCAGGTTTACCAACTCAGATTGGACTTTGATTTTGTGAACAACCTGTTTCCTTAGCAACTAATAGCCCCACAGACCTTGAGGGATCGCATGTGTGTTTGTTTTAAAAGTTGGCTCTTTATGGCTCAGGACTTGATGTTGCGTAAATAGGCCAATGATTTTCAGATGGGTGGTTGTATTGATATGAAAGTTCAAAAGCAATTTGTTGTGAATTCATGGATGCCTGCGCGCTCATACCGTAAAACTGAAGTGTGTATTTTTTGTATGCATATCGTGTGAGTATTTCTCACCCAGAGCTTTAACAGAAAACTGATTTAATAGAGGTAATATTTCAATTATTTAAGATTTTTTTGGTCTTCTGGACTTCAAAATATGAAAATGTATACACTGGAGGAGCGAGCGCCAACGTTTTAGCTTTATAAATGTCTCAAATGGCCAATCGATTATCGAAATAGCCGCAGATACGTTTTCTGTCAATTGATTGAACTCGCTGATCTTTTCAGCTCTGCACAGAAGCACTTGATGTTCTGCCTCCTATCAGTCTGTCTTAGATCACCTGTTTCATACGAATCCCTAAAAATGTAGTGTGATTTTAAAGAAAGATGAAAGTACAGGAGATTAAAGCTGCTGGATATTACTTGTGTTAAAATGGAGGGACATTTTGAAGTCTTTAACCGAACCACTTCTCGCTGGGTTTAGGGTAGTTTAGGATTTCTTTCTTGCACTATGGATGTTCAGAGCATTGATAAGCTTGACCAGACTGTACGTTAGCATTCTGCAGGTAGTGCTCCACTGACAGCATAACAAAGCTAAGTGCTGCATTGTGCTCGTCTCTGGTGATATACTGTGAAGCCAGTGAGAGCATCTTGTCCACCTGTGTCAGTTCGTAGCGAGTGGGTGCCTGATGATGAGTTTATTGATGTGTGCACTGCAGTGGGCGAGTGTTTTCCTTAATTACTTGTTTAAATGAATATGTTATTCTTCGTTTATTCTAACTTACTCTCTCCTTGGTCAGCTGTATTCCGTAAATCTTTGATGTTACAAATACAAATTACAAATACTCTCATGTAGTACGTGATTACTTTTTTGGTATTTGACACACAGATAAGGGATTTGTGTGTGGATTCCTGGCATGGATTTAAGCGTCAGTTCATAGTAATTCCTTGTCTCCATACTTAATCATTTTTCTGTAGCGCTGGGTATTGTTTGAAATGTTTTCGGTACCAAGATCAAAATCATACTTTTTTGATATCTTTCTTGAAAGAGTAGAAACACTTCTTCCAACAAATCATTCCAGCGTAAAGAACAGTAAGAATCTTAAAAATCCAATGCTGACTTCCAACATTGTGTGTTACAGACACATTACGGTCCGTGCCAAAAAAGCATTGTGGTTCAATATCCGTCTCCATATCCAGATGTTTTCCCCTTTTCACGTAGGTCCACACTACCCATCACTAACGCTGTGAGGGCTTGTGTCTCTAATTTTCTTTTTGAGTGAGGGGACGCCCGAGGATCAGTCGGTGCTATTGATCTGCCCGCCAGCCAATTTGTTGTCAGAAGCACTTGGCTTGTTCATTACCGGTTTCCCTGGCGAAGAAAAACATGAGCAGCCTTTCATTTAGTTTGGATGCCCTCGTGAAGTGAAAGGGAAGGTGGAGAGGAAGAGCAAGTCTGACAGACCGAGGGAGAGAGAGCAGGTTGCCAATGAGAGCCTCTGAGTGGGAGGCAGCATAAGTTGGTTTGAGGAAAATTTAACAACAGAGGACACAAGGCTGAGGCAGTGTCTCCTCTGTGCTTATTTGACCTGCCATTAACCTGAATGTACTTGAAGTCTGGCAGAGACAACAGCACTGCTGTCTGATGTGTCCTCCAGCATCGGCCAGCTAAAGCTGCCTGCTGTGCAAGTTGGCATAATTGAATTGAAACGAGTGAAATTTAATGTGACAAAACCCTGACTCATTCATCAATATGACTGATGCTTCTGCTTGCATAGAGTGAGAGAGAGAGAAAGGAGGAAGAGATAGATACATTATTCATGATACATTTACAGGACACCTTGACAATTTACCTTCACCTTAGGGCTGATGTTTTGACTGGTGTGTTGATTTCACACATCCAAGTTTGATCTGTAAAGAGAGGGAGGACAAATTATTTGAAAGAGGAAAAAGAGAAGAACTTCGATCCTTAATTGCAGGGATCAATTGAGATACTATTGGGTAGAGTTCTGCACTGGCCTTAAATGAAGAAGATCTTTCTGCCGGGTCCGGTGAATGAACCTAACCCTTGGCCCAAAGCTATAGTGGACTGTTACCTTGCTGTTACCTTACTGTACTCTGTCTCTTTCCCACTGAGCATTGTGTGTCTACTTATAACACATGACAAGCATGAACACAGAATGAATCTTTAGAAAATTAGAATGGTACCAAACCTAACCCGTATCTCATAGTTCCCAACAAAGGTTTTGCGTTGGGTCCAGTCACAGCAGAACTCTTCTCTGTCTTTTGTGGAGTTTAATGGAGAAACTTTCTTCCCCTTAATTACTACATCAAACTTATTATCATGCGGTGAGATCTATCCAGCTGTACAGTAGATGAGGTAATAGGGCAGTGTCCATCCTAAATGCTGATGATAGATCAGTTCCTGGAATTATTAAGCTAAGCAGATGACTAATACATAGGTGATGTCATACTGACCTGTGAGTATCTATATGACTTCATTTTCTGGAAGCTTTCATCCTATGGGTAACTGCAGAACATTTGCTATTAATTTGCTGAATTTGTTTAGCACAGGAGGCCTGGGGGGTTAGATCGATGTCTGTTGATCTACATTAACCTCTGTGTGTGGGCTTTTCCCTTCAGAGCGTCCAGTGAATGCAGACCAGCTGGAGCGGACCCTGCTGAAAGGCGTATTCAGCGTCAGGAAGGGCAAGTCGCAGCTGCACAAGTGGGCAGAGCGGCAGGTCATCCTCTGTGGCACCTGTCTAATTGTGGCCTCCGTCAAAGACAGCCTGACTGGGAAGATGCACATCCTGCCCCTGGTGGGGGGAAAGGTGAGAGTACAGTGTTTCGAGATCAGATAACCTGAAGTGGTGTTAACCTTTCACTGTGCCTGGGTTGAGCCCACACTCCAGGCTAATTGTAGACACTAGTGATGCACAGGTCAGTCTTTATTATCTGCACCCAACCGAGCGGTTACGAGAGACAATTTGCACCGCCCAACCTACAAAGATATTAGTATTTAGTGACAGCTACCCGACCCAACCCGCAAACCGTTAACTAGAACTAGACTGAGGTCTGAGACGAGGACAGAGACAAGCGGACTTGAGCGTCGCAGTCTTGCAATGTGTGTGTTTGAGAGAGAGACAAAGAGAAGGTGGACTATTGCACTTCAATGTTTCTGTAAATTATTGACTTACTCACAGCGCTGCTTTTGTCACTTTTTGACCCACTTGCCCGAACCTGTGATGTTTCATAGTAAGCTTGTTATTACGATATGCAACCCACCATAAAATGCTTCAAAATCTCTAAAAATCCCCAAAGCAGGGCCACCCGATAGCTTGGTAGGCCTACATGCTATGTAGCTGCAACTGTTCTAATTTGTGTTCAGACAGGGACCTTAACCCTGACCCTCCCCCTATTTCCTCTCACTTTGTAACAACTGTTAAATGAGGGCGACATTTTTACTGAACAATGAAATTATAATGGAAAAAAAGATGCAGCTTACATTTCTGTGCTGTTGTGATATCTGGTGGTAAACCTGAGTTGTGCAGTCACAATCAAACAGTTATGAAGCTGTCACCATTGTCCTCTCTCTCTCCAGCTCACACAGCTGAAGTGAACCGGTTTGGTCTTTTAGCAAATCTAGTTGACACATCATTGAAGAACAGTAAGACGAACACTGACTGATGTATAACTGTGTTAAGATTACTGAAAATTTAGATATTGTTTGAGCAACATCATTGCAGTAACGAGTATTTATAATCATCGTTTTCCGTTTGTGTTTTCTCTCCCAGTGTTCCTCCTCATCGTATCTGTCTATTGTCTTTGTATTGAGGTGGAGGAGGTGAAGCGGAGGCAGCACTGTCTGATGTTCAGCTCAGCCGGATCACAGGCCCAGACATACTTTGTCAACTTTGACACACTCGCAGACTACCAGCGATGGCATCGGCAGGCATCAAAAGTAAGCAAGAGAAAAAGGCCGTGTGTTACTGTGTGTGCAGGACACAGTATGTGTTGATTTGTCTCAGCATCAGTTTGTTTCCTGTGAGTTCCACTGGGGTCCTACTTAAATCAGAGAGGTTGGGACTACAGTTGTTTTCTGCCTGTTGAGTTGTCCAATCAGAAGGCATTGATTGAACAGCATACGTCTATTCACAGAGATTTTCTTTTATACCAGTCAATGCGGATTAGAGGATGCTAAATGACCCAAACACATTTTTGTATTTATGTTATATGCTGTGTGTCTTTCAAAGAATCTAGCCAAGCTGTTCTTTCTGTTCTGCCCAGCTTGCTTTGTCTCTAATATTCAAATTAATGGCTATTGTACCGCAGCTCCTTCCTGGAGCTGGACAGCCTCTGTGAGAGCCTCGACTGAGGCTGAGCCAGCATACAATTAGCCATGGAAAGAGAAAGCCAACAGAAAAAAGAAAGAAAATCCAATTAGTTGCAGATTCACGCTAAGTCCAGGATCTCTCTCTACCATGGTGGTATGGATTACTGGGTTAGAGTAAACTGTTCGTGCACTGTATTGAGCCTGAGACTTAAACAAGAGGTTTCTATGGAGACTATTGGGATGATGGTTGATGAAGGTTTGGGCCAGTATTTATGCTACATTACTCGAGTTGTTAGTGTGTGTGTGTGTGTGTGTGTGTGTGTGTGTGTTTGTAAGCAAGTACATTTGTGCTTGCACAATGCACTTGCAGGACCGGACTGAATATTGGCGTTTAGGGATACATTACAGAGCAGCATATCAGACATTTGTATTTATAATTTGTGTGGTTATATATTCATAGGAAGTCAGAATATATTAAATATATGGTAGAACATTTTAAGACTATTGATCTACTCATTTTACAGCTCATTAGCAATTGACGCAGTGTATTACAATTGAGAGGAAATCTACTTTTTAATATACTACTAACAAAATGTGTGTGATGATGACAGTCACTAATAAAACTGCATCAGTTGGCAAAGAAGAGCAGCTCTCAGAAATGTGAAACGTTCAGCTGTGTTCAGCTGGGCTAGTTTGTTAATCACACAAAAGCAGAGAACCCTTGTTTCTCAGTTTAAAAGGAAATGATCTGATTGCACGTATGAATGATTGAATCAATGTCTAGTCACTGATCAAAGACTGACAGGACCACAGTAACTGGTCAAATTACTGTCCCACCTTTCATGCTATGGGGGTTTATTCCTTGTCTTATTCCTCAATCGCATAGCTTCACACTGTTTAATTACTCTGCAAATCATCTAAAACATCAATTTTATTTTCTCTCTAATCCTCTTTAATTCATCTCTGTCAATCTGTGTCCATCGTTCTACTCTCACGTCGTTTAATTACTCTTTTAAAGAGGAGTTGTTGTTTTTTTAATGTGGCTGGCAGATGACTAGTTTTCTGGGAGCATGTTTTGCCTTTGTCATCTCTAAAAGCGGTGACGTGATGTCACGCTCTGCTGAGCAGCGGTCCCATTTTCTGGGTTGCTGCACAGTGTGCAGCCCTGTAGTTAATGGAGGAGACTGGACTGGACGAGCACTGCTGGGTAGTCTACAATGAAGAAACTGTGAGACAAGGCTGTGTAACTGTACTGTAACAGTGTTAGTGTAGTCGGAGATTTTAACTATGGTAAAATAAGCACAAAATCACACATGCAGATGCATTCAAACACTACTTGACACTCACACACATTTTGCTACTTGTGAGGACATTGTGTGTCTTTCATTCATTTTCGGGGAAACTACTCTGCCTTGGCACTGAAAGTGCAAGGAACCAAAACAATTCAATAGCACCTCAAACTACAGTTTTCAAAATGACCATGAAGTACTGTCAATACCTGTCTAAAACAGTTTCAGCAAAGACTAAACGCTATGACCTTAATTAAGGTAGGATTTATTAAAGGGCCGTTGTATTAGACTTGTTTTAGATAGGTGTATTTAATATACTGGCAGCTCAGTGTACTGTATTATTACACATGTTTTCTAAGGTCTAGCTGTAACTGCCGTATTTTAAGGAGTTATTCTATTTCTCTCTTAATTCACGATGACTGTGTTTCTCTGGAAGATAAAGTTCACTGAACTGGAAACTGGGGCATTTTCTATTTGAAGTAATGTCTTGCCCAAGCAGCTGGCTGCTTGCATAATCTGAGGTAAATGTAGTTGCTTCCACTGTCCATTGTCCCAGCTCATCTAAGGTAAAAACTCTTTAAATGGAGCCTGCTGTCTGCTGTATTTGAGGTTCACCACAAGGTGTGAGGTGTTAGGGTGGTCGCGTGCTGATTGTGTGGATAAAATGCTCTTAGGATTGCAAGGCTACAAGATCAAAATGAGTTTTATCGTCTTGAAATAATGAGGCTAGGAAATATACTGGTTTTCTTAATTGGATTTGTCTGGTACTGATGGGAAAGTCACTGAAATTGAGTCCAATATCGTAATGCCATCAGTATCACATGAGGATAACTCACAAAAACAATGTAACATTTATGTTAGCCCAAGTGCACTGCAGCAGGCAGCTCAGTAGATGTTGACAGGGCATGGGCATACAGGTTTCAGGTGTGCTTCTGTATGAGCTACTTGTTGTGATATGGAAGATGCAATCTCTAAACCCATCTGGCTATCGGCCTGATGACGGATAAGCCTCTGGGGGCAAGGGGCTATGTATATCTCTAGGTTTCCGGTGTAGCCGGCAGATATCCGGGCCAAGAATTCCTTTTCCGTGCGCTGCTCATTGTTTACAGTTCAATCGACAACATGAGGTACAAGACTGAAGTTGGAGTTGAGAGACGACTTGTACAACCGGATTGTTTCACAAGAAACCAGTTTACAAGCTAATTTTAAACCAATGAGAAGCTAAAGAATCGTCAGACGAGGTGGGTTCCCAGATAACATTTCGGCAATGTGCCTCTTTTGCTCTCCACACAGACTATTTACCTGCATTCTACCAAAGCCTGCTCAAACGGGATTGATCAATACTACTCGGACTACAAACAGAACACAGAACGCTTCTGTTACCAAAATCTTGTCCCATTGCATGGAGACAATGGAAGATATGATGCTGACATGCCAAACATTAAATAGTAGTAATCTTTCCAAGCACGTAAAGTTTCCTTTCCTAACTCTATGTGTGTGCGTGTGTGTGTGTGTGTGTGTGTGTGTGTGTGTGTGTGTGTGTGTGTG